TAGGCTCTTGTGTGATTATTTGGTTGATATAAAAAAGAAAAAAAAAAAAAACAAACCCTGAGTGCATGTTTCTTATGTATCTTTTTGTGTGTGTGTGTGTGTGTGTGTGTGTGGTGGGGGTTGGGGGTACCAAGGATTGAACTCAGGAGCACTCAACCACTGAGCCACATCCCCAGTCTTATTTTGTCTTTTATTTAAAGACGGGGTCTCACTCAGTTGCTTAGTGCCTCACTTTTGTTGAGGCTGGCTTTGAACTCATGATCCTCCTGCCTAAGCTTCCCAAACCGCTGGGATTACAGGCATATGCCACCTGGCCTGGCTTATACATCTTATTTGTATAACACAAGTCCCCAGGGGCCTAGGAAAGTGCCTACCCACTCCCCCATTTTTTTTTTTCGAGTGAAATATGAATTAGGCACGGTGGCACAATCCTGTAATCCCAGCAGCTCAGGAGGCTAAGGCAGGAGGATGGAAAATTCAAAGTCAGCCTCAGCAACTTAACAAGGCCTTAAGCAACTCATCCAGACCCTGTCTCTAAATAAAATACAAAATAGGGCTGGGGATGTGGCTCAGTGATCAAGTACCCCTGGGTTTAATCCCCAGTACCAAAAAAAAAAAAAAAAAAAAAGAATTAAATTGCATACCACTGATTGGACAATTTCCTCTCCAAAGCCCATACTCTCTCCAGAGTGCTCCCTTGAGCCAGGCTCAGCAGGTCTCAGCCCCAGGTAGAAAGAGACTATGACACATTCAGGACCTTACACTGGGTCCTTGCATTGCTCAGACACAAGCCTTGTTGTCATCTTGGATCACCATATACCACATCCAGTCCACCTGGAATTCCTCTCATTCTCCCTTGAACATATATCCAGAATTCAAAATAAGGTCAGAATCAAAATAATGTAGTGAAGCATGTGGAGCTTGGGGTAAGGGGGTAGCCATAACGGAAATAAGATTGTCCACATGCTGAATATGAAGAGTTAGGGCTGAATGGAGATTCACCATTCTAGTCTTTCCACTCTTGTTAGGTGAAAATTTCCAAGACAAGAGATATCTCCTCCCAACTCCTACCCCAAATATGTCTACTTCTTACCACCTCCATGTCCTATCCACTCTGGTTCAAGGTACCATCATGTCACCTGAATTATCACAGAGGCCTCTTCCTGGGCCTCCCTGTTTCTACCTTAACCTTCCTCTGATGGTTAACTTTGTATATCAAATTGACTGGGCTATCGGGTACGCAGGTTTTTTGGCCAAACATCATTCTGATTTTGTTTTTAGGCAAGATTAACATTTAAAACCAGGCACGGTGGCTCACACCTGTAATTCCAGCAGCTCAGAAGGCTAAGGCAGGAGGAACACAAGTTCAAAGCCAGCCTCAGCAACTTAGTGAGGCCCTGACTCTAAATAAAAAATAAAAAGGGCTGTGGATGTGGTTAAGCACATCAGTGGTTAAGCATCCTGGTATGAAAAAAAAAAGATTAATATTTAAGTCATTAGACTGAGAAAAGCAGGTTGCCAACTGTAGTGGGAGAGGGCCACATCCAATCAGTTGAAGTTCTGAATAGAATAAAAAGACTGAGTAAGAGAGAGATCTTCCTGCTGTACTACCTAAACTAGGCCAAAGGATTTTTACCCCGTCTTCGGGTGAAACATCAAATCTCCTTGGGTCTTGAGCTGGACAGCCTTCAGAGGGGAACTACACTACTGGCTTGGCTGTTTCCTAGGCCTTCATGCTCAGAATGGAACTAAACTGCCCTCTCTGCTTACCCACACCCTGCAGACCCTGGGACCTGCCAGATGCCATAATCAACTGAGCTGTGAGCCCAATCCTTATAACAAATCTCTCTCTCTCTCTCTCTCTCTCTCTCTCTCCACACACACACACACCCTGTTTCTAGACAATACTTTCTAAAATCTTTCTGAAAAAAACTGCATTTTGAAAAATGTTAAAGATACAAAAATTGAAAGAATAAACAGTGAAAACCTCTGTACCTTTCACCTAGATTTGCCAGTTGACAACATTTTGCTACATTTGCTTTTGCTGTGACTGTGTGTAAACATGAACTTTTTTTTTTGGAACCACTTCAAAAAATAAGTTACAGACTTCATGACATTTTACCTCTAAGCATTTCAGCCTATGTGTCCTAAGAACAAAGACATTCTCATATATAACTGCAATGCATTGTATAATACATGGTCATACCCAAGGAATTCAATATTGATGAAGTAATACCTAAGATATAATCCTTTTTTTTACTCTACCAACTGAGCTATATCCCCATCCCCAAGATATGATCCTCATTAAAATCTCTTCCATTATCCACTGGATGACCCTTATAACCTTAAAACAAAACAAAAGCAGTATAAACCTGGCACAGTGTCACTGCCTGTAATCCCAGACACTCAGGAGGCTGAGGCAGGAGGATTGCAAGTTCAAGGCCAGCCTTAGCAATTTATCGAGATGCCAAACAAATCACAAGACCCTGTCTCGAAATAAAAAATGTTTAAAAAGGACTTTCATACGTACCGTAGTGGTAAAGTGACTCTGGGTTCCATTCCCAGTACCAAAAAAAAAAAAAAAACAAAACAAAAACATTATCAAGGGCTGGGGGTGTGGCTCAGTGGTAGAGTACTTGCTACCATGTGTGAGGTATGGGATTTGATGTCTATTGACAATTAAAAATATATTTAAAAATATAAATAAAGCCAGCTATTCATTTATTAAAAAAAAAAACAAAAACAAAAAAAAACAGTATCAAGTCTTTTTTTCCCTTGGAACCATTTCTCAGACTTTCCTTGGCTTTGTGACCTTGACATGTCTGAAGACCACAGTTCCTCTGAGATGTTTCTAAGGCTGCTCTCACTTCGTGTGTTCTCCTGATCCCGGTCCTGGGCTGTACATCCTTGGTGGCATTTCCCATCAGCAGCGTGGAGTTCTGCCCTTGCATTCTTGCGGGTGGAGTGTGACTCATTCCTGGAGGTGTTATCCTTTCTCATTTGATGAAGCTGGACTCTGTCAACCTTCCAACCAAGTCTTAGCTCTTTTTTTCTCTTAAATTTAAAAGATGTATTTTGTGGGTGAGAATTTTGGGATTATGCAGATATCCCATTTCTCATAAATAATAAATTTATTTATATCAGGATGGATTCTAGTTCAACAAAATCTGTTAGTATCATTGTTCTCGACTGAATATTTGTGTTCCAGAACCCATATGTCAAAGCCCCAGCTCTCAGGGTGATGGTTATCTGTAGATGGAGCCCTTGGGAGGTGATTAGGGTTAGATGAGGTCATGAGATGGGGCATTCGGGGTGGAATTAATACCTTTATAGGACAAGGAAGGGAGAAGGAGCAGCTCTTTCTCTGCAGGAGCACAGAGGAAAGGTCAGGTATGGAGACAGTGAAAAGGCAGATTTTACAATTTTCTAGCACCTTGATCTTGGACTTGAGTCTCCAAAACTGTGGTTGTCAAACCACCTATTCTGTGGCCCTCTGTGATGGCAGCCTGTACTGATGAGACAATCGTGATCACTCATTACTCACGAGCTGCAGGAGCCCAACAAAGATGTCTCCTGTTATCCTCATCATTCCTTATTTCCTGGCTTTCTGATAAAAGATACTCCAGTCTCTTACTTTTCATGGCCCAGGCCTAGAATCAGACCTTTTCCTTTGACAGCCTTGTTTCCTTTTTGGAACACAGTATTTAGAAGCCAAGATGAGGGTGCTAGGTGTGCACATCACTGCCCCAGCCTGGTGAACACTCACATTTATAACTATATTGACCTCTAGCTGGGTACAGTGGCGCACGCCTGTAATCACAGCTTGGGAAGCTGAGGCAGGAGGATTGCGAGTTCAAAGCTAGCCTCAGCAATTTAGGGAGGTGCTAAGTAACTCTGCAAGACCCTGTCTCTAAATAAAATATGAAAAAGGGCTGGGGATGTGGCTCAGTGGTTAAGCACCCCCGGTTCAATCCCTGTAACCAGAACAAACAAACAAAAAACCCCAACTCTCTGGTGTCTAATGTCTCTTCCTCTTTTTAAAAAAATTTTTAAGTTGTTGATGGACCTTTATTTATTTATATGCAGTGCTGAGAATCAAACCCAGTGCCTCACACATGCTAGGCAAGTGCTCTTCCACTGAGCCACACACCCGGCCCTCTTCCTCTTCTTATAAGGACACCAGTCCACTGAATTAGTTCCTGTCCTAATGACCTCAATTGGCCTTAATATCTCCTTCAAGGCCCTAACACTCAGACTGGGGATTAGGTTTTGCCAAAGTCCAAACACCTGTCCTACCCTTCACCACCCCTCCAGCCAAGACTCATATATTAAAACCTGATCCCCAGGGCTGGGGTTGTGGCTCAGTGGCAGAGCACTTGCCTAGCATGTGCGAGGCACTGGGTTCGATTCTCAGCACCACGTATCAATAAATAAAAAATAAAAAGGTCCATTGACAACTTAAAAAAAAAACAAAAACAAAAAAACTCTGATCCTCAGTGTGATTGTTCTAGGAATGAGGATATTGGGAGGTGATTAGGTCACGAAGATGGAACCCTCACAAATGACAGTGCCCTAGTCAGGGACCTTGGAGAGCTATCTTGCCCTGGCACTGTGTGAAGTCATTGCGAGAAGGACTACGGGCCCTCCCCAGGCATCCAATCTGCTGGCACCTTGAACTTGGGCTTCCAGCCCCCAGAACTGTAAGAAATAAATTTCTGTTGTGTGTAAGCCACCCAGTGTATGGCATTTGGTGTTCACAGCCCTGCTGACTAGGGCTTTAACAGGTGAGTTTGAGGTGTTCTAACAGACTGTCCACATTGATCATGTTCACTGTGTGCAGTCCCCCTCCTCCTGCACATCAGCGTGCCACCAGCAGGGATCTCCTTGCAGGCTCACTGTGGAGTCCTGAGTGGAGGGAAGGTGCTCCAGGAAGCTCACTTGGAGTGCCTCATTCCCCCTCTCCCCACCGGCTCAGACCATGGGCAGGGAAAGCCAATCAGTGGGGTCAGGTACAAACCATTTATTTTTCTATAAAGAACAAAGTACAAAGAGGCAGGGGAGGGCAGCTGGGCCTGAAGGAGCAGCAGTGGGCAGGCCCAGGCCCTGGCTATGACTGAAGAGGCCTGTGGCTGCTCCAGGAGCAAACCTGGGCCTTCAGTCTGATGGTGGAGGGCAAAGGGAGTTGTGGGGGGAGACCAGACTGCTGCTGCTGCAAGTCATACAAATCCAGGCTTCATGGATGAGCGGCGGCAGTTGGGGCAGCTCCGGGTCCCATTGTTCTGCAGGCATCTGAGGAAGCAAAGGGCTCTGTCCACTCACCCCCGACCTGTCTTTCCACTTGGGTGGTAGGCCCTGACTCCTCCCCCACTTCCTGCTGCAGGGCTAGGAGGTATCCCTGTGGCCATTTGGCAGCAGAGGAAGGAAGGAAAGAAAGTCCTGGTCCCCAGGCTTCTGCTCTGCCCCAGGAGCCTTCATGGCAGAGGGTGTGGGCAGGGTCAAGACTGGGATGGAGCTGGCATCGGCCGTGACGCGGAGGCAGGGCTGGCCTCCTTCTCTGATCCGATGACCTTTAAGAGGCCTCTCACTTCCCTTTGGGATAACTGGAAAACTTATCCTTACCCCTTTGAAGAACTTTAGGATAAGGATAATGACAATGGCTGCCACGCAGGGCTGCTGGGAGGATTCAGGGAGTCAGATGGGGAGTTCTTAGAACACACCTGGGCCCCAGAAAGCACCAGGCCAGTGTCTGCTGTTAGTATTATTAGTGTGACGCAGTCAGTGGGGCCCTTGCCTGGCCACCGTGCAGGCGCCCTCACCTGAGGTGGAAAATGTGGGAGCAGGGCAGGGCCTGCAGCCGCCTGTTCTTCTCGCCTATGGACTCCCCGCACAGGCCGCAGTAGAGCTCCGTCTCCTCCACGCACTCGTGGAAGCGCACAACGTGGGCTCGCAGCTCCCGCTGCAGCCCCTTGCTGCGGCAGATGCCCTCGCTCAGGCAGTGCAGCTTGAGCTGGCTCAGCTGGGGCACGGGAGACAGGAGAACAGAGTGGGGACGGAGACCAAAGTCACATACTGGTGAGGACCAGTCCCAGCCATTTCCCTGCTCTGCTGACGGACCTAGGAAAAATGTCCTGCTCTCTCTGAACCTGTTTCCCTTGGAGCAGAATGAAGGAGTTGGTGAGATCACAGTCTTCACGCCTAGATCTCCCTGGGACTCCATGTTTTGAACAACTTTATTGACCAAATCCACTGCACTGTCTCCCTAATGATTTGCTTTCCTGTTTTTTTTTTTTGGTTTTTTTTTTTTTTTTTTGGTAATATACACATCTCATCAGCATTTCTGATTTTAAAAAAAAAAAAAAAAAAAAAAAAAAAAAGGATCTCTGATCAGACTGATAGCTGGATAAACCTGAGTGGGCATCATCTAGCCCAAAGCAAATACATGTGACATTTTAGTTGGACTGTGCACCTGATCCCATAGAAATGCATATTTGCTAAAAGACCCTGAGAAATGCTGAGCCTGTTTCCAATATTTTAAGGCCTGGATATGATTATAAATTTGGAGAGGCTGCATTATGTTATGGAGGGAACATGGGTCTTGGTATTAAGATAGACCAGTTAGTGGTGAGAGACCTTGAGCCTGAGACTCACTTTCCTCACCTCTCCAAGGAGGCCCCTGTGCCCACCTCCCAGGAAGATAGAGAACTGGGGCTGGGGCTCAGCAGTAGAGCACTCGCCTAGCATGTGTGAGGCCCTGGGTTTGATCCTCAGCACCACATTAGGATAAATAAATAAAGGTACTGTGTCCAACTACAACTAAAAAAAAATATGAAAAAAGAGAACCGGAACCAATACCTACAAGGACCTGGGTGTGCCCAGCTCTTAGGGAGTGGAGGCCACCTCAGGAGTTTCAATGAATGTCAAAAAGGGTCTAAGGCATCTGCCATCCTCCAAATAATGCAACTCCTGCTCCTCCCTCAGAAGTGACTTCTGGGTAGGAAGGAGACAGGAGGCTGGGGACCGCCACAGGCAGCTCAAGAGGATCAGCAAGGGCTCAGGGCACCAGCAGGTCCAGGGGCCTTCCCTCAGACCCATGCTCCCCACCACTTGGCTGCTGACTGTAGACTAGGAGACAGACGCAGGTCTGACCTTGTTGCCCACCTCCTCAGCCAGGTCCTGGGCTCTCTCGATGGCGTCCAGAGCCTGGAAGGTGAGCAGAGGTCAGGCCTGCAGGCAGAGTGTCTGACAGAGGCCTTGGCTCACAGCAAAGAAAGGGGTGGGGAGGGTGGGCCTGCGGAGACCAGCAGGGCTAGGGCCAGGCTCCTGTGTGTGAAGGTAGTGGGAAGGGACATGCACGGCTGCCAGGGCTGTGTCAGGACTGTGTGGCGAGTCACCTCCTGCCTCTTTGTGCAAATATGGAACAGGTGGAAAATGCCTCATAGGGTGCTAATGAGAGCCTGGAGGCAGTTACGCTACCCCAGGTCCAAACCCCAGCCCTGTCCCTTTACTAACTGTGGGCCCCTGGGCAAGTCATGGGCCTTCTTAGAGCTTGGAAAATAACTGGCCTCAGGGAAACAGGATGAGGCTGGTGTTAGACACAGGGGCAGACAGCACCTTGTCAGGCACTAGACCTCGGCCTGTCAGCTGACTGAGTGGCTCCAAGCAGGACGCGCTGGGGAGTGCTGGGGGTGTAGAAAAGGGCCTGACCTCACCTTGTCCAGCGCCTTCCTGGCCACCCAGCACTTGGCCACACCCAGTAGCACTTGCACCTGCCCCAGGCGGTTTCCAATTTCAGTCATGATGCTCATGGCAGAGTCATACCTGGGGAAGGCTGTCTGCAGAGCCAGGTGGGAGGGGGTGTCAGGCTGGGCCAGGCCTGAGACCCCCTGGGCCCCCAGCCCAGTAACCTCACCTCCAGGTCCCCTCGGCTTCGGTGGATGTCAGCGAAGCAGAGTAGGCAGAGCGCCTGCAGCGGCCGGTCCCCATGCTGCAGAGCGATCTTCATGGATTCCTGAGGGAGTGGGTGGCTCAGGCCTGCTCATCTGACCCCACCACTGGGCACCCTCCACCCGGAGGCCCCTTGAAGGGACAACCCAAGGATCATCAGTATCCTCAGAGCCTAATACACCTATCATGGTGCTGAGGCTTCCTGCATCGAACCGCGGAGGCCACTTTACCCAGCGAGGCAGCTGTCAGTTGACAGGTGGAAACAGGCTCAGAGAAGTGGCCTAAGACACCCAGCTAGTAAGTGGCAAAGCTGAGATCTGAGCCCAACTCAGAGGACACTTCAGAGAACACGCTCCTCTGAGAATGAGGCCTGACAGGTTGGGGGTAAGAAACACATCCTTTAGGGGCTCCGTAGAGAGCTCGGCCATGGACAAGCCTCAAGGGCCTCAATGGGCTGATCTGAAGCAGGAGGTCCTGCACCTCAATCCTCAGACCACACCACCACCTGCCCACTTCCCCGCTGCCCCACCTCGCAACACTCCATGGCACTGCCCAGGTGGCCCAGCAGGCGGTAAGCCACGGCCATGTGATATTGGCTCATGGCCCGGTACTTGAGGCTCCAGCCTTTGCCATAGTCGTTGACAAGCTCCGCGGCCTTGCAGGGGAAGAACAGGGCTTTCTCATAGTCCTGCAGGGACAAAGAATGAGAGGGGGTCGCACTGAGTGGCAGGCAGGAACTGCTCCCAGGAGGGGGCTCCAGGGCTGGCTTCTCTGGCTGCCAAGGGTCCCAGTGTTCATTCATTCATTCACTCCAGCTCCAGGGGAAGGGGGATGCAGGTAGAGGGAAGGCCAGTGCAAAGTGTGGACTCCAGGAGCAGAGGGATTCACTGGGATTGCTGCTGCATCCCAAGAGCCTAGCACTGTTCTTGGACTTAGTAGATGCTCAATAAATATTTGTTCAATGAACGAATGAAAAGATAAGGAAACAGTTGGCTTTTCTTTGCACCCAGTCCCCAAAGCCTCCTCAGCTTCACAGCCACACAGGACAAGGGATACTAGAGCCCCCCATCTAGAGTCTGCCTGCTGGTGCTCAGCAGCAGCTGTTCCCTGAGGGCTCAATGACAGATTTCCAGGACTACTGGCTCAAAAGAACATTGGAACAGACTTGGCGAGGCAATGAGACAATTTTCTCACATCTTCTCCTCAAACCTCCAAAGGCCTTTTCTCCTTCTTTTTATCAGCTGGCAACCTGCCTCCTGACCATTAGAAAAAGGGAGGATCACAAGAGTCCCCTTCCCCACCACCTGGTCCCACTCTGCCTTCATTCTGTTCTTGCTCCAAATGCCAGAACATCCCCGACCCCAGTGTCTGCATCACTGAGTTCTTCTACTGAATCATCCTCGACAGTGTGCAACTTCTTACTTCATTTAAAAACTAAAGCCAGGTGTGGTATAATCCGAGTGGCTCCAGAGGCTGACACAGGAGGATTGCAAGTTCGAGGCCAGCCTCAGCAACCTAACAAGGCCCTCAGGCCCTAAGCAACTCAGTGAGACTCTGTCTCAAGTGAAAATAAAAAGGGCTGGGGATGTGGCTCAGTGGTTAAGCACCCCTGAGTTCAATTCCCAGTACAAAAAAAACATAAAAATGGAAAATGGAAATAAATGATTCAGACTGTATATTATATTTATTTTATTTTTACTTTTTTTTTACTTTTTCTTTCTTTTTTTTTTTTTGTGTGTGTGAGATACTACAGACTAAATCCAGGGATGTTCTACCACTGAGCTACATCCTCAGCTCTTTTTATTTATTTATCTTTGAGACAGAGTCTCACTAAGTTGTCCAGGCTGGTCTTGAACTTGTGATACTCCTGCCTCAGTCTTCCAAATAGCTGGCATTATATGCATAAACCACCTTGCCTGAACATCATATTAATATAACCATCTTTCTTTCTGTTTTTGGTGCTGAAACCCAGGATAGAACCAATATAAGCATATTTTGAAAGACCTTAAAACAAAAGTACCAGGACAGTTTATCCATAGTAGGACAATATTTATAAAGACAAAGAAGAGCCAGGTTCAGTGGCACACACCTGTAATCCCAGTGACTTGGGAGGCTGAGGCAGGAGGATCTCACTTGTTCAAGGCCAGCCTCAGCAACTTACCAAGACCCTATGGCTTCTAAAATTTTAAGGTTGCATCTGAACTATTTTGACGTAAAAAATGTCATCACTCAATTTTCGGTCACAACACTTTAGGTTAAAATGTGTACAGCCAACATGGCAAAAATAGGAATTATTTTTCCACCAAGTGGTGGGCGCATACAAGACTTCATTATATTATTGCTTTCACATAGGGTTGCTTTTAAAAACCTCTATCCCTCCCCAGTCCTATCTCATTGCACTGACTGGCATCTAGTTCCTGAAAACAGAGTCTAGGTGGCTGTTCTCGATGCCCCTCATTTCCTCTTCCCCACTCCTCATCCAGCTGCATCGATACCAGATTTACTGAGTTTCTACTATGTGCCAGGCACCCAAATCCCTGATGGCCCACACAGCCGGGTTGCCGGGAGGGTTATGTTGAGAAGCTGCAGTCACTGACCCTCAGCTTCCCTCACCTGTGGTCCCCTAGCCATGTGGTCCCCACCCTCCCACCCAGGGCAGGGCTTTGCCTGGAGAACTTTCCTCCAGATTTCTGCATAGCTCACACTCTCATCTACATCATATCACCAGAAGTCACTCCCTGAGGCCTTCTGGCCACTCTATTTGAAATTGTGTCCCCCCACCCCCTTCCTATCACCTCCTTGCCCTTTATTTTCTCCTAAGCACTTTCTAACATGCCATCCAGTTGATCCCGATTATGTTGACAGTCCTTTTCCCCCCAAGCCAGAAGGCAAGCTTCATGAGGAACCTTGCTGTTATTTCCACTGCCACAGAGAAACAGTTCAACAGTGCCTGGGATATAGTAGATGCTCAACAAATACCTGACGGACCAATCCTTACATCCCTGCTGTTAAGTTCTGTCTCCCTAGTTGATGGACATATGTCTTGGGGTTCAGAGTGGTGACTTGCCCAGGATCACACAGCAAATCTGTGGTAGTGCAGGCCCATGGGCTGTCCCCCCACAGGACCTTTCACTACCCCAGGAAGTCAGTCACGGTGTGAATCCTGGCTCTGCCCTTCTTGGCTCGGTGTTTTCCAACTTCCTTTCACCTCATCCCTACCTAAAAGGAGGGCTGGACAAGGCAGTGCAGCCAGGCATGTGGCTCATGGGAGGCTTTCAGGGAGTCCCCGTTACCCTCCCCCTGGGGCCCAGGCCCACCTTGACCTGGGCGTAGAAGCTGCCCAGGCTGCAGCAGACGCGGCATTCGAGCATGGTATCATCGTTGTTGTGGGCGTAACGCAGGGCCTTCTCGAAACTCTCCAGGGCTTTCTGGAAGAGGCTGAGGCCCAGGAAGGCATTGCCCATGCTCAGGCTGACCTGGCCCCCCAGCTGGGCAGCTGCCCTGGTGCCAGGCAGGCCGAGGCAGGTCTTGCAGTAGGAGATGGTCTTGTGAAACTCGCATAGCTTCTCATTGCTGCGCGCCAGGTTCAGGTAGCTCTCCAGGAGGAAGTCGGCATCCTCCAGTTCCCGGGCAGTGTCGATCTGGACCACGGCAAACTGCCCACCGGGGTGGCAGGCACATAACATACCCTCAGACCTGCAGACTCCACACCCAGCCCTGGCCTTACAGCCAAAGCAACAGACCCCCGGCTCCCACCCATCAGCCTTGGACTCGATCCTGGGTCCCAGCAACAGTCTAGTAGCTTCAGCTCTTCAGTTCACTCATGGCCTTCAGCTTTGCATCCCCCCCCCCCCCCACCTAGGTCTGAAGTCTCTACTGACCACCAGCCCTCGCCTCAAACCCAGAGCCCATGGCACCAGGCGCACACTTGGTACCCCCAACAGCAGGCTGAAATCCAGCAGCCAAGGTCTGGGGGACCCCTGAGGACCTCAGACTCAAGGGTTAGAAAACTGAAGTTCAAGGCCACAGGCCCACATCTGACTCTCAGGGTCTCAGACGTGGATCTCAAGCCTCAGGTTCCAGCCACTAAGGAGGCTGCGAGGGGCCCTGGTAGCCATCCAGCCCTGGCCCCAGCCAGCCTACACCTCCCCGGGAGGGTATGCCCACCTTCAGCATCTCTTTGTAGCGGCCCATCTCCGAGTGGGCTGTGACCAGGCAGCCCAACACACGGAAGCGCCCCACGAGGTCAGAGCTCTTCTCCAGGACCTTCATCCACACCTGCAGCGCCTTCTCAGTCTGGTTGGACTGGTACAGCTGCAGCCCCTTCTCAATCTGCTGCTTTGTCTGGTCCTGCCCCATTTTCTCAAAGCCCTGAGGCTCACGGGGGGACCCTGGTGGCTCTGGGTGCCTCTAGGCCCTCATGGTATAGGACCCACAGTGCCGGTTGCCCAGTGAGCCCCGGAAAGGAAAGCAGAGTCTGAACAGGAGCTGAACAGGGCCTGGATGGAGAGCGGGCGCCACCCTGGTAACAAAGCTGGTTCGGCCCCTGTCTGCAGCTGTCCCTGCCAGTTGGGGCCACGTGGCCTCTGAGGAATGTCAGCAGCAAGGTCACGCGGGCCTCTGCGGCACCCATCCTAAGCTGGAAGGCGGCTTTCCCATTGATAGTCACCCTGCCACCTGGGCACCCCCTGGGGCATCTTCAGCACCTCTAATACTGACCCTGACCCTTCTGACAGGGCGGGCCCTCCCTGAAGCCACGCCAAGGAGAAGCCACTGAGGGGTTGGGCAGGCCTTGCACCAGGAGGGGCTGCCGGTGGGGAGGAAACAGGGACAAGGCTGGACACACAGGCATCAGGGAGGCTGGGGCAAGTGTCCTGCCTGCTTCCCCATCACACTGTAACCCCCAGCCCCTCTCCTGGTGTTGTTCCTGATTGACTGGGCACTGTGGTCACTTACCCTGCACATGTCCACACCACTCCCAACATTGAGCCAGTGCTAGAGGCCTACATTCTAGCCTGATCTCACTCACAGTAGGACCCTAGCCAAGTCATTCACCTCTCCAGGCCTTGGTTATGTCAACTGTAAGGTAAGGATAATAGCTGGGCAGGTGGTGCATGCCTGTAATCCCAGCAACCTGGGACGCTGAGGCAGAAGGACTGCAAGTTCAAGGCGAGCCTCGGCAACTTAGCCAGATCCTGTTTCAAAATTAAAAAAATAAAAAGGACTGGGGATGTAGCTCAGTGGAAGAGTGCCCCAGGGTTCAATCCCCCCCAGTAGTTCCACAAAATGTAAACAGGATACTAAACCCGAATTCACGGGCAGTGAAAAGGCAGTGATGTGGCCAAGCTGGCAGCCTTGGGATCCTGCTGCTTTCTGTGCTAGCCACGTGGACAGTGTGACTCTGGGCAAGTTACCTGGCTCTGTGGAGGAAGAGTGCCAGCAGAGAGCTCATGGGATCATTAGAACTAAATGATGTACTAGTTGACAAGGATTTAGCACCTGGCACACAGGCCACTTCGAAGTTTGAAAAGTATCCCAATTCCAGTCCCATTCTCTTGAATGGGTCCCTAACAGTGAGCTTTAATGCCAGGTAATATGGAGAAAGGTGAGGTCTTAGGGAGGGAGCAGATATTTGAAGCACTAATGCTCTTGAGTTGAAAGAGGAGCCCCAGGTGGTAGGGCCTCTGCTTACCCCCCACTTTCTCTCCTCCATTGCCAGGCTTCTTCCTGCCCCAGGGCGAAGCTTGTTTGTTTTCAGAGTGGATAATTCCATGGTTTTTTAGTGTATCCACAAAGTTGTGCCACAAATTTCAGAACACTGTCATCATCCCCAGAAGATGACCTGTGTCTGGTGGCAGTTACTCTCATCCCATTGGTTATGGTTGAATTGTGCCTCCACCCTAATTCATATGAAGTCCTAACCTCCAGAATCTCAGAATGTGACTATACTTGGAAATAGAAAGGTGAGTCATTAGGGTGGGCCTTAATCCAGTATAACTGATGTCCTTATAAGAAGAGATTAGGACCCAGACACAAAGAGAAGACCATGTGAACATGAAGGTAGAAGATGGCAATGTCCAAGCCCAGGAGAGGCCTCAGGAGAAACCACCGCTGCCGACACCTTGAACTGCAACTGTGAGAATTACTTATTTATTTAGTTGTATATGGACTCAATGCCTTTATTTGTTTTTATGTGGTGCTAGGATTGAACCCAGTGCCTCCTCACACTTGCGAGGCAAGTGCTCTACCACTGAGCTGGTTAATATTCATTGTATGGATAGATCACATTTTATTTATCACTGTGTCAGCTGATAGGTATTTGGGTTATTTCACTTTTTGGGCCATTATGAATAGTCATGAATAATGATGTCATAAGCATCCATGCACAAATTTGTGTGTGGGCATGTTTTTATTTCTCTTGGATATACGCTTAGAAGGGGAATTTCTGGGTCATATGGTAACTGTACAAACCTTTTTGAAGAATTGCTGAACCGTACCTCTTGATTCCCTTCATCCTCCATACATATGCTCTAGTGAGAGTCCTACTTAAGATGAATCAGCTTATTATTCTCACAGAATTCTCTCTATAACTAGAATTATCTCTAGTTATATATTCATTAGAAAGTTATTTGCTTAATGTCTTTTTTCCCACTCAAATGCAGGGGCAGGAACTCAGTGTCTCATTCACCACTGACTGTACCCTCAGAGCAAGGCATGTACATAGTGGCCACACAATAAATACGCTGAATGAATGAATGGGGGAGAAGGGAAGGAAGCACTGTTTTAAGTTTGAAAGTGGAAGCAAACGCTGCAGGCTTAGCAGCAAATCTGCCATGGCCTGCACCATCTGAGGGAAACTGAGGAAAACAGATTCAGAGGGGTAATTTGGGAGCCAGAAGTGAGTGGCTCAGGGTTCAATGGTCCAGAGTCCCTATACAAGCAGAAGTAGAGAGGACATCAGAGCAGGCTCATGGTCAGGTGGCTGGCCTGGTCACCAGAACTCACCATGGGGAAAGTGCTCTTAGGCCTGGGCCACTGGAAGCTGAGAAAGAAATTGCAAGAGGGGAGGTTCAGAGGCCAGTCGGGAACTGCTGGTGGCAAGAGAGCTCCTGGACCTTCCTCTCATCTTAGTGAGCCCACAGCAAAGTGCTGTAGAGCCAGTAGATTCCCTCCACTCAGCAGTCCACCCACAAGTCTGGCAGGAAGGAGAGGATGGGCTGCCAGTACTGTCCTTCCAGGTACCTGGGGAACTCTAGTGACAGGATAAAGGCTTCCCCTGCCCCCGACTTCCATGATAGGGACTGCCACACCTGCTTGTTTTAGATAAAATACCTTGTTTCCTTCAGAAATTTTACTTCTGAGTAATTTTTCCAGAATTCAGCTACGGTCTAGTTGGATGGAGGTCATGTTCCTTTGGGGGGGGGGGGGGGGGCTGTGGTTTATCTCTGTCACTGAACAGACACAGGCAGACTGAGAGGAGACCAAGAAAAGAAATCCAACTACATGTTCTGAGTTAAGCATTCCTTTCACTTTACAGACAACCCAAGTCAGAGAGTGAAAGAACACACTGCAATCTAGAGACACAGCTGGTACTAGAACCGAAGTAATGTGGCTTTAGGAGTCCCACTCCTAACCAGGATACTGTTTCCTAGAGGAAAATGGAGAAGGAGGAGAAAAGTGAAAAGTGGGGAACTGGACACATTTTGAGAATTTATAGCGATGTCTGCCTGACACACAATAAAGTCACTGGGAACATTAAGCAAAACTGTGGCCTGGGGGCAGAATTGTATTAGGGAAGTGAGCAGGGCTGGAGATGTAGCTCAGAGGGTAGAATGCTTGCCTGACATGCACGAGGCTCTGGGTTCTAGCCAACAGCATGGATAGGGGAAGAGGTGAAAATTGTCAAGACTTGCTCACCAGTGCCCAGTGGACAAAAGGCCACTGGGAATTGTATGGTGGAAAGCCACAAAAATGATCTTTTCTGGGCCATTTAACTTCACAGGGCTGCAGAACAGTTGGGGCCTTGGGGGGGGCTCTTAATTATCTGCTGCATTAAATACCAGCCATAAAGCTCATATTTTGGACTCCTGTTTTAGAATCAAAAGTAGGAATTTTGTCTCATTCAAGGCCACTATGTACGTGCCTTGCTCAGGTAGAAGGTAACAATGAGGGTGTGACCCAGTAGTAAGTAGAGCACTTCACTAGCATGCAAGAGGCTCTGGGTTCAATCCCCAGAGCTGCCAATTAATAAAACAAACAAATAAATAAATAAGAGGCAAGAAGTTCAGAAAACAAAACCAATCCCTGCCCCCATACCCCCATTAAATTATAAATCAGGACAAAAAAAAAACAAAACAAAAACAAAAACAGTTAAATTCAGGCCTGAAGCAGGGGTCATGATCTTGCAACACTTTTTACCGAGATATTTCATGTATAATGTGCATTTCCCGCTTTAGTTCAAGACCAGAAGCTCACACAACCCTGGGCGTCACTTTAACACTTCAAGTTGTTGGTGTCTGGCCCTAAGAGACTTAATTAATGTCTCTTTCATCCACAGCCCCCATCACTCCCTATTCTTAACCTAACACGGAAGTGAAAGGCCACCTTTCATCTTACATTGGTCACCTTTCACTGGTCCAGCCAGCCACCTTCCCACCAAGATTAGTGAGATATGTGGAAAAGTCTCTCCTTCCTAGATTATTTTCCCCAGCTATAAAATGGGGATATTACCTCTCTGGCAAGAGATGATATCCAAATGAAATGACAAAGTGTAAGCTTGCTTTGAAGACAAGATGTTGCACCCCAAATCTCTCTGCTGGCTGTTATTTATAATAGTGGGGAGTGGAAAAAAAAAAAAAAAAACAGAAATAACCTGAATCCAACAGGAGGTGGTCAATGCCATGAAATGCAACGTGGCCTCTCAAAGTGGTAGACAGACACCTTCATATGCAGTTGGAAGGCTGCCCGTGACAGCACCTGAAAACAGTAAGCTACAGAACATTCTGTATTATGATCTCATTAAGAAAAATTATGTATGTACATATTTTTGTACATTTAAGAAAAAGTCCCGACAGCATAACCACTGCCCTCACCCTGGCCCCTTTGTTTGAAGTTATCAGTGGGCTACAAGATGGAGAATTGTGTTTGTGTGTGTTACTGGATACTGAATGCAGGGATGATTTATCATTGATACCCCCAGCCCTTTAAATTTTTTGAGACAGGGTCTTGTTAAGTTACTTAGAGCCTTGCTAAGTTGCTAAGGCTGGCCTTAAACTTGCAACCCTCTTGCCTCGGCCTCCAAAGTCACTGGGATTGCAGGCATGTGCCACCCACACAATTTATTGTTAGCACTCCTGGGGCTGAAGAGCCACAGTAGACTCCCTTCTCTCAGGGACCTCCCCTATTGCCAAGGGGAACTACCAACTGCGCAAGGCCCTGAAAAACAGGGGATGGGACCAGCACCAATTTCCTTAGAGGGTAGAGACCCTGGTGAGGTGCCTTGCCAGCCTTCAAAGTTGTAGTTCCAGAATTCCTGTAAAGCACCTTTGAGGGACTTGGCCATCATTTCTGTTTCAAGGCCACAGGTCTATGAATTCAGGTACTGACTGGTAGCTAAGAATCTGTAAACTGGATGCAAAAATGTCATTATGAAGACAGCAATTTCTAAAAGATCAAACTGCATATAACTCTGATATGGTTGAGAAGAAAAGCCACCAGAAAGCTCTTGGACAAAGCACCTATCATCTTCTGGTGTTGTTCATTTACTCACTCTTCAAATGTTTACTAAATACTCATCTGCCGGCCAGTAGGAACATGGTTTCTGCCTTCTTGAAGCTCCATTCTGAAGGTAGAGTTTAAGTTGGACACCCCAGGGCACACCACGAGACCCCAAAGGAACATGTTCTACAGGGACTTTGGAGTCAGCCTGGCCTCTTGAATTAAAATCCAATTCTCGGGGCTAGGGTTGAAGCTCAGTAGTAGAGTGCTTGCCTAGTATCTGTGAGGCACAGGGTTTGGTTCTCAACACCACATATAAATTAATTAATTAAAGATCCATCAACTAAAAAAAGAAAAAAATCCAACTCTCCTACTATTATCCATGTGTTAGGAAGGAGCTGCATCTTCTCTGTGCCTCAGCCTCTACCTTTCGGTGCTCCTAGCCGCTGGGAGTACCA